TTACCTTGGTTGTTAGAATTTCAATTCCCTTGATTACCTTGAGGTCACCATTGTTGTTGATTCGAGCCTTGAGAGTTTTTTTTTTGCCCTTGAAAGTTGTTCACATATAGCACTTCCTCCTCTTATTCATTGTAAGATTCATCTTGATCAAACCCACTATCTTCTTGCACATAATTCTCCACTCAATTTTGTACTTGTGGACCTTTGAGCCTTCTTTTATTCACCATCATACTAACTCCCTCCATAGCATTGACTTTTCTCGGGTTTTGCACTTGTTGAAGTTGAGCTTTTGCTAATTGATTCATTGTGGTGGTCAACTCGGCAATGGCTTGCCAATGGTCATGCAACTCTTTATGTAGGTGAATCACGTTCGGATCACCTTGAGAAACATTTGCTCTACTTTTCCATGCCGAAGAAGTATCCGCCATTTCATCTAAAACCTCACAAGCTTCCGCATACGGCGTTGTCATGAAATTTCCACCGACAAGTTGATTAACCACGCACTGATTGGTAGTATTGATCCCCTGATAGAAAGTTTGTTGAATTATAGCCTTCGTCATGTCATTATTTGGGCACTCTTTGACCATAGTTCGGTACCTCTCCCATATTTCATGTAACAGCTCATTGGGCTCTTGTTTGAATGCTAGAATCTCGTCTCTAAGAGTAGCCATATGCCCGGGAGAAAAGAACTTGGAAATACATTTCTCCGCCAATTCATCCCATGTATGGATAGAGTGATTTGGCAATCTTTCTAACCAATCCAAGGCTTTCCCCCGCAGAGAGAAAGGAAATAGCCTCAACCTTAAAGCATCCTCGGAGACTTTGTCTGTTTACTCTCCCAACAAGTGTCCACAAACCCCTTCAAGTGTTTGTATGCATTTTGACTCGGAGCCCCGGTGAAGAATCCTTGTTGCTCTAACAATGTGAGCATTACATTTGTGATTTGAAAGTTGCCCGTCCTAATGCGGGGCGGGACAATGACACTTGCATACCCTTCATTCGGCAACACCCGGTGTAGAGCCGCTCTTGGTGGAGGTGGAGGTAGAACTGGGACGTTGTCTTGAGGTGCCCGACCTCTTTTATTTGCTTGAGGTTCAAGAGGAACCTCTTCAACTTGGTCATCTTCAACGTCCACATCCCCCAAAGGCATATTTCCGAGTTGATCGTTGTTGTTTCCCATAATAGTACCTAAAATTGATTCACACAAATCAGTAACAAGAAAGAAAAAAAAGACAATTCACACACAAAACCAAATATATAGCTAAATCTATTTTTTATGCTTCCCGGCAATGACGCCAAAAATTGATCCCGTCCAAGTTCACACCTCAATTCAATGTTATGAAACAGTCGATTGCAATAGTAATACCCAACAAGGAGTCGGGGTCGAATTCCACAGGGAGTTATACGTGGGATTTAGGAGTATAAATTGAATTGTATGAGTATGAACTATCTCAAATTGCACTTCCACAAACTTGGGTTGTTTATAGGTTTAATTTAAACTAAGATTATAAACTAAGAATTTAAACTAGGAAATTGATTTTGGTTGTTTTTCAAATGATATAAAAGGCCTAGGGCTATGACCTTCACCTAGGTATTCGCTTAATGGGTTGTAAGCCTTAAAGCTTGTTTTATTGGCCGGGGTGTATTATAGCTATCAATACTCAAGTACTCACTCGATACCTCTCAGTCAAAGAGTGATTTTTCCCAATTTATCTTTCTCAAGTCCAAATGGGTATTGAACAAAGCAGTTGATAATAAGCTCAAGTCGGATTTTACTATCTCTAGGTTCAACCCTTTAATTGGTCTTATCAATCTCTCGATTGACCCAATTTCTTGTTAGCCAAGTTTTTCTATACTAAATCTCTCTTTCTCAAGTAGAAACCAAGTCAAATAGGCATGAGCTAATATTTACAACCATTAATTCTACAATTAAAAGCAAGAACAAGGCTAAATAATAAGCACCCAACCATAAACAAGACATAATTCAAACACCCATTAAGTTTAAACTCTAGGGTTAGGTCACAACCCTAGTGAAAATCTAGCTACTCATGCTTAAGACAGAAGAAATGATAATTAAACCCATATTGATAATTAGAGTAAAGAAATCTATGTTCAAAAAGCTCAAAATGGCAAAAACTACTAAAGAGAGTAAAGAAAAACGGCTACTGTATCTATTGATGTCAAAACTTGACCTTAAAAAGTGAAACTTTTTAATTTATACAAAGCTAGAATTTTCAGACAAAAATGCCCTTTCGGAGGTTCTGCGGCCGCACAATTCCATATGCGGTCCGCACTTTTGCTTCAACCTGACAGGATTAGAATCTTGCGACCGCACAATTCTGAATCGCGGCAGCATCTCTCTCTTTCTGCGGTCCGCACATTTCTGAGTGCGTCCGCACATGGCTCTTTTGCGAACCGCACAAATGCAATTGCGGCCATATAGCTGATCTTCTGCGGCCGCACAATAATTGTGCGGTCCGCACTTCCGTTGACAGGTTCTCTGGACTTTTGCTCTTGCCTAGCTTTTGCGGTCGTACATTTCATGTGCGGACCGCACTTCTCACAGATCTCTAATAAGTTCTTCTGCACAATCTGCGGTCCGCACTTTAAGTTTCTGTGTTTGTTTTTGTCCTTGAATTCAGATCACTCCTTCTTGAGTAGGATTTCATCTTGGAGGCTCATTTTCCAATATTCTTGCAATTAAGCATATTTGATCAGTTTTTGGGAACACAATTAAATATTTTTGGACTCAAACGAAAGCTAAAAGGCGCTAATAAGTAGTCAAAATCCCCACTTATCAGTGAACTTGTACCGTATCCCCCTCGGTCAGGATCAACTCGATATGATTGGGAAGGCCGAATTTAGCCTTAAGCTCCGCTAATTCCTTCACTGTCATCACTGACCGAAAAGCTCCAGGTGCGGCCTCTGGTGATTTGGTGAAATCGGATCTGGAATCAGGGTTGCGTGGGATTATCTCCTCCACCGATAAGAAGGTTTCATCCTCAACAGTGGCAGGAATGCTCTCCTTATGGGAGGGGAACACCACTGCCAAGGGAGTAACATGACTCCCCTCTCTAGCCTCAGAAGGTACGTTAGACATGATTCAACGTGAGGAAGGAGAATAACAAACGAGGGGGAATGAAGAATAATGTAAGTCACTGAAATAGAGAAGAGAAATTCGAAGAAGAAGAGAACAAGAGAAAGGTATGGGATTTTGAAGCGTTAGAAGATTTAAACTCCAAAATCGTATTCAAAGACCTCTATTTATAAAGGTCATGCCACCTAAACCGAAAATGGCTCATCATGATTGGCACCGGAACCGAAGCGGCAGGACTAATCAAAGGTCGCACGCAAAACAAAATGACGCATTGGGAATATGCGTCATAATGACGCATGACGTCATGATGTCATCCAAACTCGTGGACAGCATAACTCCAGCAAATCGCCGGGGAAATTCGAAGCATTTGAAATGTGCTGATCACAGAGGGCCACATTACCTGCTCGCCGCAACAACCACGACCTACATAGTCCACTTGATTAGCTCGACCACCACCAACACGATCCATTCATCGAACTCGTCCGCAAAGTCGGCCTCAATAAGCGGAGGGACTAACTGTATGGGTCAAAATCTATCTTTAGAATATTTAAGTCAAAATAGTATTGGTGGAACGTTCCCAACGGTCACTTGACGAAGTAATCTAAAAAACGGTGAAGTCCGTGGTCGAAGCGTCAGTAAGGGCTGAAGCCGAGGAGTCATCAAGGATTGAGGCCGAGGTCGAGCACCCTTGATAGAGTTATAACATCTAGTTTCAAGATAGGACATAAAAAGGAATATTCTAATTGATATTCTTTGCACTTGTACAGTTAGGGTTTTTATGAACATGTTCTCTATAAATAGAAAGAGACACAATGATAGGGGACATGTGATACTCATTTGTAAAATACACTTTGGCTTTAAAGGAGAGAATCAGGTCTTATTGCAAGCATACAAACACAACGTTTTCACTAAGATTCTTGTTCATACTTTTTCACTGGTTCCGAGAATAACTCAGATATTCAAAGGTTTATCCATTACTCATCATTGTCAGAAAGAATATTCACAGATTTCATCCTTTCTTGGGTGACTCATTCGTTCTATTTACATAAGTGTCATTTATTGCTATTCATCATTATTTAATGCTACATTACTTCCTTTGACTTCTTAAATACTGATTGTGTGCCGCCGTTGCTATTGAAATATATCTACGTAGTATTTATTGCACTTCTGAGAACTTCATCTTTGGAATATTATTATTAACTAAGATTAACCCTTATTTATATAAATTTAATTAGTTGAACAAGATATATATTTTTTGATCAAACAATATGACCTAACAAGATCAGATTTATTTATTGCACGAAGATGTTTAAACGTCAAAAACATTTATTTATTGCACTAATAACAGTTTTACTTGTCATACGCGTAATACGTAATCTGTTGGCGCCTAATATTAAAAAATTTCAATTATCTGAAATGTATCTGGAAAATACATTTGATAAGTGAACTAGAAAAATGCAAACACAATTCAATCTTGTAACACAATTGGTGTTTCCAACAAGAATTTTGCTCTCCACATTTTCTTGAATTGAATAAAGTAACAAAAGTGAAAATAATAGACAGAGAGATATTGATTTCTTTTTTGTGAGGGTATATATAGGGGGTGGCATGTTAGAAGTATACAAGAGAAATAAGTCAGATACCAAGATAATATAGACGTAAGGAGCTTAATTAAAGCTATTGGACTTCGGAATCGAATCATGTCAGTGGTCAAAGGATACCATAGAATAATTTAAATGTGTCACTTAGGTTAAGATATTATTTACTACTCCCATATATATATATGTGAAGATATAAGATATTAACTGTTAGTCTATAAGCATGCCTTAAGTTTAATATAACTTCCAGTTAATGGAAATTTTATATATATGCCATTTAATAAGTTTATTTTCTCATTTAATATACCGTCCAAAAGAGGAAGTGTGGCTTTTAAATTTAACGTTTTAAATCTATGATACTTTACAAACAGAACATACATGTAATGGACAAATAATGGAAGGGAGAAAGTAATACTCCACTAAATAACAGCCAAGAAAACACAAATGCCACGTACTTTGTGGTCTTCTCATTCTGAGAAGGGGGCGACTCCCTCTCTTCAGTCAGTTTGTCTGGACATCTCCTTTCCTATATATAACCACTTTTTTTCTTCAGGCTCAGCTGTATACTACTTCTCTATCAATCCTTCGATTTTCAGATGGAGCATAATGAAAAGGGTGGTGCGGCAGTGACAGTGACAGTTCCGGCAGCAGAGATTGTGAATGGAGGCGGAGTATCAAAGAAGGTGCATTATAGGGGAGTGAGGAAGAGGCCGTGGGGGAGATATGCTGCTGAGATCAGAGATCCTCTCAAAAATTCTCGTGTGTGGTTGGGGACATTTGATACAGCGGAGGAAGCTGCCAGAGTTTATGATGCTGCGGCAAGGGAGTTTCGCGGTACAAAGGCCAAGACCAATTTTCCTCCTCCGGCAGTTATTAAGGACTCGTCGCCGGCACCGTTGAATCTTAACCTCGGAAGTGGGTCTTCCGTTGGTAGTGCGAGGAGTTTCACGTATCTGAAACAGAACAACCTCAACCTCGGCGGTGGGTCCTCCGTTGGTAGTGCGGCGAGTTTCACGTATCTGAAACAGAACTATCAGTTTCGTCATGTTCCTGCTGCCGGAGGTTTTGCTCCGCCATCGGCGCGTGATTATCAGTATTTAGAGGCTTTAACTGGAGCTGAAGTGAGTAATCGCGACCCCAGTAGCCAAAGAGGGACGGTTGCTTTCTTAGGTGGCGGCGATAGCGTCAGTGGGTGTGGAATTCCGACTGAGTCAGAATCATCGTCGGTGCTAAACTACAACTTTAACGATCTAAATCAACCAACCATCACCACCAACTGTCTAAATCTGGACCTCAACCTTCCACCGCCGGATTACATGTGAAAAGGCGACAATTTTTCATCGGGAATTAATGTGTATGCATCTCCATTTTTAAAAATAAAAAATAAAATTAGTCGTAGTTTCCTTTTAAATTCTCAAGTGGCGGTGAGGGACGGCTGGTGAGTTCACACGTTTAGCCTATAGTGTGAACATAAGATTTAAATATATAATCTCAAATTTTACTAACAAATAAAGTTTTAGAAAGAAATTTTGACCAACTTTTCAACCAAGCGCCACCGTAGTACAATTGTGAAATATAAAGAATCATATTTCAAAGTATTGTCGTATTTTACAACTTGTTTGAATATAGTTATCTTAAAGTATATTATTTATTGATATTTAAATTATATTGTATCTTAAATTCCTTGTTACGTAATGATAAAGTGATTTGTCGTTACTTTATTTTTTAATTTTATATTGTCCTTTTTTATTGTTAAATAATCATATTTTATTTTTTACCTTATCTTTTTAAATACTAATTCTACTTCATACCCTTTTTTTTGTAATAATTTTTCAAATTGCCGATGCATGCAATAATAAAACGATGACAAATGATACTATTTATCAAAACCTTGTATTTATCAAAATAATACAATATAACACAACATAATATAGTACCATATGCTATGAAACAATTGTTAGATTTTCCTATTATGTATATGACCCAATATAATAAAGGCCATAATTAATATTTAATGAAAAACAAATCTCGTCCGTCCGATCAGTTACTTGATGGACGTACCAGATTAAGTGAGAACCTCTATAAATTGGTCATCTCTCCACCCATTAGGGTTACCACCTATTCTATTCTTCTTTTTCATCACTAAAGGCGATGGTAACGAAGGTAGGGTAAGGGGCGGGAAACCAATTTAATTAACGCCTTCGCTTTGTGATATTGGCTTCTGCCTCGGGTATTTTTTTCTGCAACGATTATATGTAAGATTATCATATTCAAGATTCTAATATGAATTAAAGTTTATGTTTACAGGTATCATGAGCCTGAATTGTTTGAACTGACAATTTTCGTAAAAGGAATTATATATTTCTAGTTGTGTTGTTGTTGTTACGAAAGTGTCGTATTGTTAAAATTAGAACTTCACACATATTCAAAGATTTGATCACATATGTGAGGTTTCTGTTCGTAGACAAAATATCAATAAACTTATAGGATAAACTCTAGTTATATTATGTCAACGTCATTTATGGATCAAGAGTTCATTGGTTTTATCCACCAATTTCATCTCTGTTTTCACTCTTCGTGGCTTGAAAGCACTTTTGCTTTGGTTGATCAGATATTTGATGTTAAAATTAATTAAAGATGATGAAGAAGAATGTGAATTACAGTTTAATTAGTACAGACACTATAGTTACTCCTTGTTTTTAGTTTCTGCCGGCTATGTGACTATATTTTTTTGGTATAATACATCGGCAGGTCATTAAATTTATCTTCCCTTTTCACTTTAATATTTTATCTTAAATCTATTTCATTTAAAAAAAAATTTACTATGTCATTTAAACACAAAATACTGGCATGCCATTGGGTGTATCTCACACCTCTTCTAAGAGCGCAAACTGCATATATAAGGCCAGTGATGTGGGCCCGAACTGCAGGTGGATACAAAAGACATTATTTTAAAAAAAAAATCTATTTCTCTTGTTCATCTTCTCAATGGGATACTACCACAAATGTGCCGCCAATTTAACTTCCATCACCATACCCACTGCTTCATTTAAAACCAAGTTTTTTTAAAAATAAAAAATAAAAAATCATTTGTATTGCACCATGAAACCTCCATGAAACACCATGGAAACCTCCATTAGATACACCTTATTTTTCTTTCAAAAAACCAGTAACAAACACCATCAAATCCAGCTGAATCACCTCCAAAACTACCATTAGTTTCGATATTGCCTTCGACCCCTCTATTTTCCTATTCAATGCACACGAAATAAGGTTTTATTATCACGCACACATACAGTCGTCTCTAATTTATATCTAAAATTACACAATTTAAAAGTTTATGCAATTATTGAATAGTGGATTATCACTATAATTTCCCAAGAAAAGTACCATTTATTGATATATTTGGAGCTCAAGGATTGTAAATCTCTGCAAATATAATTTTTTTGTGAGGATTGTAAATTAAGAATTTTGGATTTTTGCCAAAGAGGGTGAAATAGAGGAGGGAGCCGTCGGGAAGACGACGGAAGGAAGGGGGTTGTAAGAAGCATGGGGTGAACAGGGGACCGGTCGCCGATGGAAGAGATGGATCGCAGTAACAGGAATCTGTCGCCGGCAGGAAATTTGTAGAAGATTAAAGAGTGGTAGGGTGGGATAAAGGGGTCGTCTGGGAAGATGAGGAAGGGGTGGGTGGGGTTCTTATTTTTCTTTTATTTTTTCCAAATATTTTTTTTAATTTGTTGAAATTAAATCCACGTGTCCTCGTCTTATTCATTACTTGATGTGTGAATTACATGCATTTTTTATGTTTGGCTGCCTATCAAATTTTGTATCTAAGTGACACAGTAATAATGTCGTTATAGGGTTCAAATGGAACAGACTCAAGATTAAGTGTCATAATGAAAAATAAGGACAAGTTTAATGTCTGTCATGTATTCTGTCATTTTTTTAAAGGGTTTTTGGCATCTAAATTAATAAGTCATCCATAAAGTAGCATTACACAATTAAAGATAATTTTCTAATAAAGAAGAAAAGTAACTAATGTTTGTACCGAGAATCTAAACCTATAGGATTAAATTACTCCACAATCTCATCAGTGAGGTAACGTGACCTTTAAGGTAGACATTCTGCCTCAACTTTCTAAGCCCATAATAAATTATTTTATTTTTAAAAGTAATTTTCCATAAGTTGATTAAGAATTCGTTATTGTTTTTCCTTGGCTTGATAAAGGCAGTTATTATTTTTTTTATGTATGTGATTATGTTCATATAGTTTGATAGTCAACAAAGTGATCAAACTAAATTATTTAAATTATTCACATGCATAAATGTTATGATATTTATTTTATGTGTGCATTTATGTTTACATAGTTTGTTAGTCGTCAAAGTGGCCAAACTAGTATGTTTATGAAAAATATGCACACATAAAAATTATAATTTATCCATGAAACTAATGAAATGCCAATAATTAAAAATTAGTTGATAAATTAATGTTCACTATTGCTAGAACTTAAGGATTTACCCAAAGGTGGATCAATTATTCTATGAATAGTGAATATGATGAGGTAAATTAATATTCTTTAGTAAAATATATATTGTCTGTCCAAAGATGTCATATATGTTTGGTTTAAAATATTTAATTACCTATTAAAGACTAAATGACATTTAAATTATAATAGTGTGTCGTAGTATTTACCCAAAGGAGAATTGTGATATGCTTTAATTATTTTACTGAATCCATATTGATTGCGAGCATGTATTATCTATTTTGCAGCTATTCCTCTTCATTTGCATGCTTCGCATGTTACTGTATTCAATGGACTGAACTTCTCTGAATGGCATGAACAAGTCCAGTTCTACTTAGGTGTTTTGGATCTTGATTGGCTTTGCTGAATGATAAGCCCCCTGCCATTACTGATACGAGCAGTGCGGATGAGAAGACTTTCCATAAAGCATGGGAACGCTCTAACAGGCCGAGCCTTATGTTTATGCGACTGACAATAACCAACAACATTAAGAGTACTATTCCACAGACAGAAAGTGCCATGGAATACCTGAAATTTTTGGAAGAACGTTTTTGTAACACCCCAAAGTTTTAACTAATAATTGCATTCTCGATTGAGCATCTTTATAATGAGGATAGATTTTTACTTCGCACTTCTTAAACGTGAAATTGACAATATATAAAAAAAAATCTTACTTTAGGTTGTGTTAATATTGACAAAGAAGTTCCATGTTGTTGCTATGTGTAACACTTAATAATATTTTGATAAATTACTATTAAATACATTAGATATTTAAGGTTTTGGGCTGCCACCCTTTTGTATTTATCTAAATATATTTAGTAGTTTGGGCAACCAATTTTAGTTCATACTTATCCAAAGTTCATAAATATTACGTATTTGACTTGCTTTTCCATAACCTCCTCTCGTATTTCATTCTTTCATGCCAAAGAAAACTCCTAATCTCTCTCCTTCTTATCACCTGAAATATTTCATGATAATCATCAAAAATATTTACTAAATCAACCAGCAAAACTCGTTCTTGGTGAACCTCAAGTTGCTCCTCTCTTTTGTGGTAAGTTACTAAACCCATTTTTACACTAGACAACTATTAGTATTTTCTTCGTATCTTCTTGTATAAGGATCTGTTTTAAGTGATCCAAACTTTTCTGGAAAGATATTTCATAGATTTATAATCTTATTCAGGAACCAAAACCGGTTTGTCTTTTATTTACCCGAAAATGGGTGATGAAGTACAGGGCAGGAGTTGTCCAGATTTTCTATTTTACAAACCCTCCATGTACTACTGTTAGTAATTTTAGATAACATTTTGTACAAAACTGATATGGGGGTGATTCAAAATTTTCTGAAATGGTAAGATATATATCTACAAATTTAATGAAGACCACATGGTCTAGTTTGTCCATTTTCATCTTCAAAACTGAGTCACAACACAAGACAGTGATACTGTCCAGAAATTCTGTTTAAATCTTTTTGGGTAAATTGCACCAATATCATATTTAGTTTGACATGTTAAATCATTGAACTTATATAGATATTTGATTATGTATTTAAGGTATATATATATATACCCTTGTAAAATCTAAGGGGAAGTATTTGAGAAAGTGGACGAATTTGGTTTGGTTTGTCTATGGCGTAGACGATTCGAACGTCCTCGAGTTGTGGTTGAACTGTTTTGTGATAAAATACCAATATCTGTGTATAAACTTTGTAGTCTTTTTACTTGCTGGAATATTTTAAAATAACCTGATATTCTATTTTTCTTGTCTTCAATTTATATCGTTGCATTCATGTTATATCAAGTATTGTAAGATATTCGCTAAATCGCCCACTCGTACGGATTTGCTTGATCATTTTACATTCTTGTTGGGACTTTGTCCTTCTTGTGG